CCTGGCGGTGCTCAGGGGACCATATGGGATGCTGGGAATCGAACCCGGGTGGGCTGCGTACAAGGCAAACGCCCTACCCGCTGTGCTATCGCTCCAGCCCCCTTTTCTTAATCAAAGGGTTCAGGATGTTGGCTGGGGATGACTGATTGGTTATGTTAGGATTATCGACAGGTATGTAAGTATAAGAAGTTAAAGGCGTGTGGGGTTGGCCAGGGAGCACCATGTTGTGGAAGGGATGGTATAGCCCCATTCCAACCTGAGGTTTCTGGGGCTCTTTTCACCTATTGTTATCAGTTGCATGAATAGTGAATGATTTCATCTTCTCAAAGCTACTCTTTCACTTTGAGATGAGAATTTTGTTTTTACAAAACAGAAAGAAAGGAAGAAAGAAAGAAAAAAACCTAAATAAGGTTTATATTTGCATTGCTAAAAGGTGCTTGATTTTTTTTTTTTTTTGGCTTTTGGATAACACCCAGTGATGCTCAGGGGTTACTCCTGGCTCTGCATTCAGGAATTACTCAGAGGGACCATAGGGGATGCCGGGAATCGAACCCAGGTCGACTGTGTGCAAGGCAAACACCCTACCTGCAGTACTATCACTCTGACCCCTCCACCCCTTTTGGGGGGATACTAAACATTTTTTATGTCACATCTGAAGTAATTCTTTCATCTCTGTCCCAAAAAAAAAATGTTTTACCCCAGCTGCAGTTTGAATTTCCTATGAATATTTTGTGTTTTGTTTTATTTCTGGGCTGCATCCAGTGGTGCTCAGAGCTTCTCTGGCTCTGAGGATTATGCCTGGCAGGTGGGGGTCGGGGTGCATATCCGTACATGGTTCTGGGGATTGAACCTGGGTTGGCCACTTGCTCTTTGTACTATTTTAAAGATAGAGGTGCTGGGGCTGGAGTGATAGCACAGCGGGGAGGGCGTTTGCCGTGCACGCGGCCGACCCGGGTTCGATCCCCAGCATCCAATACGGTCCCCTGAGCACCGCCAGGAGTGATTCCTGAGTGCAGAGCCAGGAGTGACCCCTGAGCACCGCCACATGACCCAAAAAACAAAGTAAATTAAAATAAAATATAGATAGAGGTGCTGTGAGCCCTTCTGAGGGATTGGAATGGAAAACGACGCTGCTGGGTGGGTTCTGTGCCACGAGGCCCAGGAATGTCCTGATCGTGGGGTCACTGGCATTGACTCACTGCCCAGTGCTCCAGAAGTGCTCCTGCTGGTCTGGTGCTGTTGCACAGCTGGGTTGGGGGCTGACTGGCCGCATCAGAACCCGGGTCCACCCCGTGGCTCTTCAGAGTCCCCATTCCGCTCTGAGTTTGGACAGCTTTAGTTTTGTGTATTTCCTTTTGTGGTGCCGGGGATCAAAGCCAGGGCGTTGCACCACACCGCCCTTCACAGGCCTGATACCTGAGGCCGTGCTCAACCTGAGAATCGTTCACTTTTATGAACTGTGACACAACCGTTGTTTGGCTGTCCGCAGAACACCCCCGCTCTGCCTCTGTGGGCGTTGCATCTCATTTTCACAAGCACAGTCCTGGAATAAAAAGATGCAAAGAGGGGCTGGAGTGATAGCACAGCGGGTAGGGAGTTTGCCTTGCACGCGGCTGACCCAGGTTCGATTCCCAGCATCCCATAGGGTCCCCTGAGCACCGCCAGGAGTAATTCCTGAGTGCAGGAGCTAGGAGGAACCCCTGAGCATTGCCGGGTGTGACCCAAAAAGAGAATAGGAAGGGAGGAAGGAATGAGTGACATCAATACGTCAGCAAAAGATCATTCAATTGGTGTGCAAACTGTTCCCCAGAGGCGACTCACACGTTCTCTCAAGTGAATGATCGCATCTCCTCAAAGCTACCCCCTCTTTGTATTTCAGGTTTGGCCTGGAATGGCCATTTTTTTTTTTTATTGAAATGCTCCTTAAATAAGTCAGTTCATAATTAGACTTCTTCCAGTTACAATGCCAGGTGGAAATATATCTGAAGGTGCACGTGTCATGCTCCAAGTCATGGGAAGAATTCCTCTGATTTGGAGATCTTTCTGGGTCCACGTTCCTTTCCTTCCAGGGGGTGTTCCGTCTTTGATTGCTGGCCTTGGCGTGGGATTTCTAGCCGGCTATGGAGCTTACCGTGTCTCCAACGACAGGCGAGACGTCAAACTGTCACTGTGTAAGTAGGCATTTTCCCACTTCATGCTGAAAGGACGGGAGCTTTTTCTGATACTCCATCCTAAGTCTTCTGGAAGATTGGATGTGGCCAGATGTCTGTGTCAAGACTGGACACGAGGGGCTGGAGCGATAGCACAGCGGGTAGGGCGTTTGCCTTGCACGTGGCCGACCCAGGTTCAATTCCCAGCATCCCATAGGGTCCCCTGAGCACCGCCAGGAGTAACTCCTGAGTGCATGAACCAGGAGCAACTCCTGTGCATCGCCGGGTGTGACCCAAAAAAGCAAGGAAAAAATAAAAGACTGGACACGATTCTTTTTCCTGCCTAGACA